GAATAATCTAATATCGATTTTTCACGAGAAACCATCCTGTTGTACACTCCTACAGACAATCTTCACTCGCATCTTACGTAAAAGAATTTCTAATCGAGCTTGAAACTCTTCTCATTAATTTATAATTTCACAATCTACGAATCGTGATCTTTTCTTTCTGGTGGAAATTCCAGAAGAGCGCTAGACCAGAGAGCAACGGAACCTCGGGTAGCGCCGCCGAAACCGGCAGCCAGCGGCGGCCAGCTGAAAGAGCTTCACCTGAAAGAGATCAAGTCCAAGCCAGAAGCGAAACCGATCCTCCAGAGTCTGAGAGAGGGGCTGGAGCACATCAAACGAACGACCATCAGGGATCGTAGCAATAGTCGTTCGAGTTCCGGCAACAATCACAGCTTCCTCGACCGGATCTCGAGGATAGCTCAGGGTGGCAGAAGCAGAAACCCAGCGAAGAAATCCGCCTCGTTCACGTTCGCCGTACGGCCAGAAATCGGTATGAGGTCCGAGAGATACGCCAGCCTCGAGTCCGAGACGAATCTGCTGCAAGCGTCCGCTCCGTCCTCGAGACAGCAGGTCCAACGATCCGTCTCCACGAGCGTGCTGGAGGTGCAGACTCAACAGCAGGACCTGGATCCCCCGTACTCCAAGGTCAGGGACAGTTTAACCCCGTTACCGTCGACCCCGCCGTCCAAGACAGAGGAGATCTACGCGGAGATCTGCGAACCGACGAACGCCGGTTCTCCGCAGGAGAAACCTCCCCCTCCCCCGCCCTCGGGAGGAAAGAACGGGACCAGAGAGAAGGACAGAGGTTACGTGAAGCTAGCATTGTCGGAGGTTTCTGACTTGAACACCGGTGACGAGGAAGAAGGGATCTATAACACTGTCTGCTGATGGTGAATTTCGTGTTTTTGTTTTCTCTCTTCGAGTTGGAAGAGACGTGTGATTAATCTGCTAACCATGTGGGTAATATCGAGAGAAAGAAGGCGCAAGTGCAATTGCTGTGGAATCGAGTTGAATTACAATGTTGTGGAAGTTGGTGTTTTTTGAAGTAGCTTATTAAAATCGAGGTATTAAACTCGGTATTGGAAATTGAGACGTTGAATTTTGAAAATATCGGAAACTCGTTAAGGAAGAAGCGAGGAAAATCGGATGTGATGAATTCAGAAATTTGCACTAACGATGAGTACATGAGTTCATTACGTCACGTAATAGTTGTTAAATAATTGCAAACGTGCCTGGACTGTAGATGTTTATGTCTCTTTAAAAAATTTACATTACATTTCACAAGAAATATACGTGCATCCTATTTATTTAGTTAAACCTACAAAAATACACAAGCGCGTAAACATCTGCAGTCTACCGATTCTTCGAAAATTCACTATAACGCTCGTCACGCGATTCTTCATCATCCACGTATATAAAAACTTCAAACAGCCACTAAAAACTTGACTTGATTCCATCTACAATCCAACCATTCGCCAATTTTATACCTGCGACACGATTCTAAAATATCCGATAGTTAAACCTAAAAAAAAAAAAAAAAAATCCCCATCTTCCTACCGCGATCAACGCGATACATACGTTCGAATAGTATCGAGCAGACGATTTCGTAGATCACCGGCCGACCCGCGACAAATTGCGGCGCGGATCTCCAGTCAACAGACTCGTTAACACGACGTACATTAAGCACGAGTGCACACAGGAGCGGAGCAGTGTGGTTGGTAGTTCATTGACGGGGATAACGTGCGACTTCCTGGTGATCGGAGCGGAGAACCGTTCGGGGAGAAACGGCGGCTGCGGCGGAATTTACAGCGCCATTTGCCCAAGGAATTATCCTCCCGGCGCGTCTTTTTCTCCCCTTTTCCCGCGGCGAGAGATAGAGAGAAAAGTGGCGGCGTCCTTCACGAAGAGAACAGGGCCGGAAGATTTACAAGGCTGTTGACCGGGAAGAAATGACGGCGTAATTGCGATCCACGCGTGCGCGTGCCGAACGCCACTTCCGGTACACCGAGAGGAATCTCCGCTGTGACCGATCGATACTAGAGATCGACACGACGCTCGCGCAGCGATGGAACTGACGATAGCGAATTTTCATGCATTTATGCAAAACTGACACGGACGAGTAAGCAAAAATAGGTGAAACATGAAATAACTGAAGTATTTATTTCGACACGTGCTAGATGAAGTATGTTCTTGTTGATTGAAGAATGTATAAAAGTCCGCGGCCTGATGAATATACGAATGTACTGCGAATTTTTATGCATTCACGAGAGGCTAAAACTTGCAAAAAGAATGCAAAGATAAAATAAATTCTTATTGATCGAGAAATGCATAAAAATCTGCAGTCTAGCGGTGAAAATATCATCGACATGATTTTACAATCTTTATTTCGGTTTCGTCGATGTATATTACATAAATGTACACGGGCATCAAATATAATTGATACTCTTTCAACAATTATACAGGGTGATTCAGATAAATGTGACAAGCTATATATCTTTTTTTCTTCCATCCAAGTCAGAGAAAGATGAATGGCTCAACTTCTCTCGCGAGTGCAATAATTTTACAGTTACGTTATTTGTTACTCTATATGAAAGGGTGTTAGGACAACGTGGGAATTATTTTAAAAATTCTTTTGCGGAAAACAAGGAAAAATATAACACGCTGTTCTTCTTTCTTTAGCTCGTGCATTTCGTACGTGAATATTAAACAAATATTAAAATATCGATCGTTTTCCGATATACAAAATTGTAAAATCACGTCGATAGTGTCAGTGCCATCGCCACATCGTTACAAATGAAATTCTGCGCTCTTGAAGAGAAGGAGAGAATATCCTCTCTGGAGAGGATACAGCGAACGATAGAAAAACGTTACGGAAGAAATAGTTCCTTGCTTGAATTATACGTGAAAAGGACCTTCTTAACAGTGTTTATACTTCGGAACGGAATCGATGTTTTTGTACAGTTTGTTGGTAACGTTTCTGCGCACGATGGTTGCAACGACGACCAGCGTTTTGTACATTTGTTAATACTTCGTGTACTCGGTTGTGAACGCTCGCGAGAAACGACGTGTAATTTCTTTACTGTATAGACATTATTTTAAAAATACACTGATTCAATCGACTCGTCTGATATTTTATTTTCCATCGTAGAAAATATAACAACACCTATACACCTATACACGTTACAATTTATAATTATTATCTGAAAATTTTTTCGACTCTTTATCATAGAAAGTCGTTCAAATGCACAAAGATTTATCGTTCATGTTATTTTGTCATTCGCCGAAATATTCGAAATACTCGAACAAGCATGAATAAATTGAGAGCAAAGTTTCCGGTTGACGAATTAATCCGAAGATTAAAGAACAGTTAATACAATCTATGGAGCAATCGTTTCATAAACAAATAGTTCGAAGGCAATCGTAGCTGATCAGCTTCGAACGTTGCACGTTGATTGAAAATAATTTTCGAAATATATAATTCCGCAAATGCACGGATGGAATAAAATATACGAATTAAAGAAATCGCGAGAAACACGTAATAATAGCGTTCCTGATGAAGAGACCAATTTTTTACTATATCCGGTTTCAATTACGTATCATTAGCCTTTCGCTTCTATCATAATAGAGCGCGTCACGGTTGTTGATTTATGGTATATCCAACCATAAGGATAAATCATTTGCGCGCCACCCCTTTCCGTCAGAAGCAAAACCGGCCATTTGTTACGCTTGGGAATAACATTTCATCCGCGCGATTTAATGTAATATAATTCGAAACAAGTCCGCATAAAATCAGATTGAAAATTCTACGTCGAACTAATGCCGTTGAGATTAAATTGAGAGAAACTAATCTCGCTTGTGACGCGTGTCGTTCGCGCGCATCGAAACACCCTTGAAAAACTGTCAGATTGGTGAATTATATTATAGAGAAAAAAATAAACGAATCCGATCTTGCGAAATTTACGCATTGCAATAAATTCAGTAGATTCTTATCTCCATTCTGGACAGTTATACTTTTAGTCTATTTTTTTTTTTTTTTTTTTTTTTGGATAGTTCTTTATTAAAAATTTGAACTCCTGATTCATATAGAAACCACGAAAATTTAAATTTTATATACATCTTGGAATTTTTAATTTAAATTAATTTTAGTAACCTCGATCAAAGAATATAACAGAAATGATTATGATCATCTGTAGCCCTACGAAACTTCGTCTGAGGGTTAATGATAAACGAAAGAACGAATGTGAGAATAAAATACACTCTTCAAGGAAGAAGAATTTGTTCTATTTCAAGAATTAATAAGAAAATTATAAAAAAAAAGGAATGATAAACTGATTGTTGTAAACTGATTCTAAATTTGTAAAATTTGTAAAATTTAAATAACCAATATATAGCAAACAAAGCTACTAATCCTAGTAAATTGGAAAATATCTCATTGTCGAAACGAATTATGAAATATTTTTTACAGTCTCGCATTATTCATTTTGTACAATTTTAAACAGAAAGTTCGTTCGAGAGATTTGAATCAGCTGAAGTTTTGATCGCAACAATATGCACGAACAGTTCACACGTTTAACGAGTTTAAAGATTGAAATGAGTTCAGTGAGCTGACGTAAATACTCCAACTTTCATTTTTACATTTACCGTGGATGAATCATTCATAATAATCATTCAAAATGAAACGGATGCGAATCCAGCTTGATTCTTTGGAACAAGATGCTTGTACCTTTCACTCTTTTGCATTCAGGAAGAATTTCAGCCAGCAGCCAGCAGTGGATTTGAACACTTCATCGAAATTTTCTACTTCAAATGAAAGCTTGTAGCTACAACGTACACTTCGTTCAAAAATTTAGAATATACTGAAAATTCCAAAATAAATAACAACATATTTTATTCGCGATGTTATTTCTATACCACTGAGATTTTTGTTAATTATATCTAATGATCAAAATTGTAATTAAAATTATAAAAAGAATTACAATTATATAGGAAAGAGTTTTCTTCGACAGAAAACACAAATTATTCTATCTTTGTCTTCCTAACTATTTGAGCAACAGTCATCGAACAACGTGAGCAAATAACTCGCCTCGACCGATTCTTCGACAGAGCCCGAACGTTCTGGAAATTTGCAGCGACCTTGGAAGGTCTAGGACCTAGACTCTGGGTCAACGAAATGAACCTAGACAGCTGATTAGTGCTGATTCTCGACGATTAATCTATCAACTAATTACGCCAGGGTTGACTGGTTGTTGGATTCGTGGAACGAACTTCCCAGAAGGGAAGTTCCATCCACGGCTCGCATGACCGATCGTTCGCTTTGAACGTGTGGTTAGGCGAATTGAAAAACGCTTCGAGGAAGCTAGAAAGCCACGTGCAATTGGGAACGCCAGGCGTTCAACACGAACGAGAAAGTCCAACAACACGAGCGGCCGCTGTCATGTTCAAAAAAATCCCTGACAGGCATAATCTTCTTCCCTCCCGAACCGTTTTCGTGTTCTCCGGGGCTCACGAATACGAAATTCTTCCGAGAGGCGTTCCGCCTAGAATAAAAGCTAGCAGAAATGAAGGCGAGAGAGGCGTTCTTCGCACGGCTGTTGGTTTTTAATTAAGCGACCTGTCGCGTGACGACCACGGCGAACACGCTCTTTGATGTTCAAACTCGGTAAAAATTTCGATTTTTAGCTGGAGAATTGAAAATTATCGCTGATTCTCAGCTAACGTTACCGTCCATCGTTATCGAAATTTCTTTCTTGTTAATCAAACTTTTTGACTATTGTAGTTGGATTGTAGTAATTCTGTATTAAATGTTACAAACTTTCTGTATATACAAGACGAGTCTAATTCTACTACCTGAAATTATTCATAAAGCAATTATTTGTTGCATGGAAAAATAAATTTCAAGCAAAAGTTCTTGTATGATAAAGAAATTAATTAATCTTGATAACTATGATTTTTATTTGGAATATTTTTTCTTTTATGTAAAAAATGAATTTCGAGCAGTTTCGGATAGTAGGGTTAGATGAGTCAGCCTGCATACTTATATTATCATATATAACGTAACTGTGGACTCTTACACATTTATGAGAAATTTTGAGGTCCGAATTTGTATAAAAGAATGTAATAAATATTGGTATA